AGCTCACGTCTTATCCTCCTGTTGTCATTATGTCACATCACAAGACGGACGAGGAGAGAAGACAGCTGTCTGCCTTCCAATGCACGTTCACGCCAGGCTGATCTCTGTCCTGGCGTCTCCCACGTAGAAACATCACAGAGACAGCCACCTGCACGCACCTGCTTGGCACTCTCCAGGGCTAGGTGCCGCAGGGGCATAGCAATGAAATACATGGCCCGTGCCTTAAAGCATTTACATGCTCAGGACACAAGATGACCACATGTGAAACAAAGGCAAGCGAGAGAACGGAGGCACTGCGCAGCGCTCCGGGAGTTCAGAATTGGGCCCATATCAGCCTGGAGGAATCAAGGACGGAGGGGACGAGGCGGGAGCGTGTACCTGGGCACTGTGGAGGGGAGGAGAGCAGGGTCTGGAGCGTGGGGCACTCACATGCAGGTTAGGACTGTATCTGGTGTCTCACCAGAATCCAGGGTGCTGACTGAGCTCAAGGGAGGGGTCAGATGACTGAGGTCGGCTCTGTTCCCTCTGGTCCCCGTAGTCAGTTTACCAATCTGGGAAACTGCTACCTTTCCAAGGTGCCATCCCCTACTTTGGGAGAAATGGACACACCTTCTAAGATTTAGAGGGCTCTTCTGGCTGTAAATAAATACAAGAGCACCTTGTTTATCCAGGTCACTTAGCTGGAGGCTAAATATCCCCAAACCTCAAATATCCAGAACGTGGGAGGGGGTGGTTTTGGAAGAGAAGATCGTGAGCAGCGCCGTGAACGCCGGGGAGGGCCCGCTGTGTGGCGCTCCAGCACTCAGCACCCCAGGGAGTGCGCCCGGGTCCCTGCTCTGCCACGGGCTCGGTTAACTGAAGCAAACCAGACACGCCAGCCCTGGGGCTGCACTGGCTGGGGGCACAGCTTAGACCCCAGAACGAAAACTTCCCAATGGACAGCAAGACCTCCTGAAGCAAAATCCATACACATAATAAAAGTAAAAACAATTCAGAAGAGGAAGGCTCCAGGAGGCAGGCCTACTCCTAACAGCAAGCGACAGCAAGAGTATTGACGGAAAAAGTCTCAACTTCCCCATGACAAGATACAAAGATGCTAACACAGCTGCCAACTGACTGTGCTTCTATGTAAATAAGACGCGGCCGTCCTGCAAAGTAGCGATTATCATCAGTTTTGAGGAAATGGAGACCTGGGAAGTTTACAAGGTCAACAAAAACTCAAATCTAAGTCTATCTGAACCCAAAATGACATGACCCAGCCTCTGTCCACAGAAAGTGAAGTGTAGAACTAGAAGCCTGAATCATCAAGAAAAAGCTTACTTCCTTTAGTATGGGTTTTATTTAAGGAGACAGGGAAGTGTGGCACATGATTTAGAATGTTCTCCGTCAGAAATCCTGTTAAAAAGGGACCTTGGGAACTTTAAAGGGTATGTTTTAGCATCTGGAAACTTCATCTAGATGAAGCACTCTTCTTCCTGGCTGCATGGTAAACGAGATTCTGTGCTGATCACGCGCATACTATCATTAGTACAGACTTCTGTGTGGGCCTTTTAGCCTAAGAAATGTTCTTTCAAGTCTTTCTAGTGGCTTTCGCACTTTGTGAAACATGTTTTTCCAGATGCCATCTGGAAGTGACCAGTTCTTAAAAGGCCCCAGACTCTTGAGTTTGGTCTTATTTGAGCCTCCCGGATGGGGTGGGAGGCAGGCCCGTTGGAGGACCCATGAATAAGCTGTGTATTTTATGCAGGTGGGTGTTCGTAAAAAAGACACGCGTTTTAGATTTCAGAACTGGAAAAAGTATTCAACTCTGTGTGTGCATGCTTCTAAAACCCTACCATGCACCCCGCTGGCTGATGACTCAGGTGAAAGGCGGCAGTATTCTCTTCCCCCTCAGGGAATGGAGAGGCTTCTCCCTGTTACTCAGACGACCCTGAGTCCTGCCCTTTTGTCCCTCAGCAACCAACCTGGCAGGGCCACGGGGCCTCTGGTTTCTGCCCACAGCTGGTAAACAGGCCCCAGAGCAGCCTGTCGGGGCCAGAGGGAGGAGTCGGGAGCTCACCCTGACTCAGGCACACCCAGGCCTGTGAGTGGAAGTTTCCAAGCAGACAGCAAGCTTCAACGGAACAAAACTAACCAGCGACCGTTAGGCGAGAAGGTGCCTGTCTGGTGTTGACTCAGCAACGGCCTGGCCCTTGGGGATGTGCATTTCAAGGACCAGAGAGCAAAGTGCTTAGGGCCACTGGCCAGGTAGTCCTCTCACATCAGAGCCCATCCCGGGCAGGGGGCAGTCCTGGCTGTGAATCCTGCACGGAGGAAGAAGGGACATGAGGGCAGGCCTGCTGACCACTGCCCTTTCTCCACAAGGGGCTGGCACTTTTCTGACTTTCCTGCTCCTTTCCCGTTTGGCTGGGGCTGCTGCTGCGCTCTCCCATCAGAAGGGTGGGTAGGCAGTCTTCTCGAGCTCGGTGTCCACCCCAAAGAGCCCAATCCGAATGCAAGAAACCCGAAATCAATGGAGAAAGGAGCCTTATCTCCTCTGAAAGAAAGTGCTCTGCAAACCCAGGCGCTCCCTGGGAAGGAGAGTGAGAGAGGGAACGAGGAGGAAGGAGACAGAACTTCCAGGACTGCAACTAGATTAAGTGTTCCTCTCACGAGCAAGTGAAACAAGCAGGGGGGGCAGGGAGCCCATTTGTTCTGAACGCAAATGGCCCGGGAAGAGTGTTAAAAATACCTCGCGGAGCGAGACACTGAGAGGCCGGACGTGTCTTTCTAAACACGGAAAATTAATAAGAATGAGAGAGAAATGGGCAGTGGAGGGGAAATGGGGGAGGGAGAGAATGAGGGACAAGGTTAAGTAGTGGAGGCTTGACCCCAACAGAGACTTTCTGACAGTCTGCACCGGGGGAAAGAGACCCCAGAAAGACTTTTTTCTGACCTTCCTGACCTGTTCAGTTCAAGCCAGAAGCATGCAGTGGGGGAGGGGGAGGAGGACAGGAAGCTCCCTGGGAAGGACAAGAAGTCAGAAGATAACCTGTAACTCCAGCTCCTGCCAGAGGCAACATCTTTGTCCCTTCCTGCTGCCAGAGACTCTGGCAACCTGAGTTCCACATCGCTGGGCTGAGCCCTGTGATGGGGGGCGGCCTTGCAACCCCAAACAGGGCAGGAGTGTGCTGTCCTGGCCTTCCAGACTTCCTGACATGTTTTAAGCTGTGCTCACCAGCTCCCCAAGTTCTCCTTCCAAAGCCAAGCCTTCTGCCTCTGCAACTATGCATATACACAAGATGACCGCTTAGCAATTTCCCTGGGAGATTTGCTGGCATAAGCATCACAGAATTTGGCCCTCAGTCGAGAGAGGTGCTTAGTCAAATTTCTCTGAGCTCAGACCCAAGCTCTCTGTACATTACGCTTCAGTTTGTGCCAAGCTTCCGCAGCCAGCCAGAGGCAGCCGGAGCAAAAACACCTTATAAAGAAGCTCTTCTAACAGAATTTCTTGGTAAAGTTCACTGGCAGGGAACCAGCAGCCTTGAGACGCTGTGCAAATGCATCGGGGCCGTGCATTTAACTCAGACAAAGAGGAACTGATGGGTGGCCCTTTGTCATCCATTGAGTCAGAGTGGATCTGGAGTTAGAAACCCCATCTTACGACTCTTCGTCACATGAGGCGTCCACCCGGGAAACCCTTTGGTTTTCAGCAAAAGTTACCTCACGTTAGGAGAAAACCATTAGGTGGGTGCAGAGTAGTCCTAGAGGGAAAGCAATGCTGTTGATCGACTGTGCCCCACCGTCCAGCACAGGTGAGAGAGGGGCCCTGTCTCCTCCACCAGGAAGCACCGGCCTGACCTAGGCCTGTGCCCTTGTACCTTCCTGCCAGCTGGCCCCTTTATTAATGTGTCAGTGCTCGCAATGCCTTGGTCACAAGGATGGTCAGACTATTTATTAATCATAAGGGGGCAGTAACGCCTATCAGAGCAGTGGCATGCTATGGGTGCTCGTTTGGAGCAGGACATGATCATTGGCACATTCTTTCCTGCGAAGAAACCTCTCACTTTTCTTTCAACGAGGAGACTTCAAGATAGAGCCCACGAGACAGTACACAGTGTGTTCACATTCTTGGCATTACAACGCTGCTGCCCCCTCACCTTAACTTACAGGGACCTTGGTGTTAACACGGCATTTCTAAGGCACTCACAGGTGTCCAAATGTCCACTTGGATCTCCTAAGCCACACACTTCCAAGGTGGCAGGACCGATGTTGTAAGACAAGCTGAGTCACCTCAGGTGACTGACTTAACTTCTCTGCGTGTTGGTTTTCTTATCTGCACAACGGAGGTCGTAATGGCCTCAACTTCCCAGGGCTGTTGTGACAACTGAATGGATTGATGTTTATAAAGCAATGAGAAGAGTATTTGTTAAGTAAATCTATAACACCCACTTTGAGACTCTAACCTGTGCAGCACAGACACCGAGAACCGACGTGAATCTTAGACCTGCCAGTGTAGACTCAGATTTTGAACTCTCTTTCTGTATGGAAACCAGCTGCTGCTTCATAAAATAACAGCCTGATCCTCCACGGCTGGATGCAGAGGAAGTCTCCACTTGGGGATCTGGTTACTATTTTATTAAGGAAGCTGGTGGGGTTCCTACATGTGGAAGCAGCAGTGGAAATGGGAAGATCTCCAAGGTGGGGGGAAATCCCAAAGCCAAGAGCTGGCGTTCTGTGGTCCCCCCTACACCCCACCCCCACATGGGATTCTCCTCCTCTGCGAGCTTTTGAAGATAGGGTGCTATTCTTTACACTCTTCACTCAAGAAGCCTCTTTCCTCCCCGCTAGGGGGTCAACTAGGGATTTATTTCCCCTGAAGGAGAATGTCATCTTCTCCTGGTTTCCCTCTGGGGCCAGGGTCCAGCACTGATTAGCAGGTCCTGGGGTGATGGCAGAAGTGGGGAGGGGGGGGGAGGCCTCAGGAGCATGCGGCTCCAGGGTGCATGGATGGTGCTTACTTGCAGTCATGCTTCTCGATTTCGAAGTGAGGGTTGAAGTTGAGGACAATCTTCTGGTTGGGTTCGGGGGCGTAAACAATCCACTCGCAGTTCTGGTGGGATGGATAATCCTGGGGGTAACCTGGGGAGGTGATGTAGCCAGCGTCTTTGGAATTCAAGCGCCCTCCACAGGGTGGGTCTGAAAGAGAAGGCAAACAACCCAAAGAACTTCAAATATGTTACAGCCTTTTTTTTTCCCTCTCCTTGTTTCTCTTCTCTACCAGCGGCTGATTGAAACTGCTTTACAGACCTTTTATGGCAGTCCAGAAGACTAACCTACTTACTCATTCAGTGGAAGAGATTATTTCAGCTCATCCTCCCCCCTCATCCGAGTAAACACACACACACACACACTCACACACTCCCCAGATGAGAATATTCCAGAAAACAGTCATAAATATCCCCAATTACATGGTCTGAGATTAAAAAAACAAGAACACTGCAAACTTAACATGCCTCCCTGTCTTTTCCTGTCTCCCCTCCTTGGCTCAGCTTCCTCTCCTCGTTCAAACCGCTCATCTCTATCTCTGTCTCATAAATCCTTCATGTTATTCGGTGTCCCAGCCCAGCCCAGGCAGCCAGAAGCGAAGGCTCCAGGAACTGACGGCAGTGGTTTTGTGGTGCTGACCCACAAGCGAGCCTGGTAGCAATTACCTGTGGTGTGGAGGAAGCATTTCCAGCTTTGGGCCAGAACAGGCCCTGGAGGGTGATTTCAGCCTTTTTTTTTTTTTAAGAAAGAAAAAGCAAAACCCCGAAACTTTTAATTCCACATACACCGCAAATTTGATTTATTGTTTCATTATACACTGAGTGGAAAAATCTGCCTTGGAGAATCCACTGGATCTGACCTCAGAGTTTTGACAAAAGTGCTTTGTGCTGTGTGGGCGTCGGTGCTTTCTGCCCCCCGTCCCTCCCGCCTGGTCACCACTGCCAGTGTGTGCTGCTACCAGCTGCTTGAAAGGCGGCCGCAGGGGAGCGGCAGACCCCTTTCCCCGCAGGGCCTGGCTGGAGGTAAACAGCTTCGTGGGCTAGAAGGGAAGGGGGCTCTTCAAAGGCCGAGAAGGTGGGCGATGACATTTGAAGAATCTCATATGCTGGGGAGTGAAGTTCCGCAATCCCAGGAGGGGTCCTGGGAAATGGGGGGTTTTGCTTAATACCAAAGACAGGAAGGCACGAGAGACCAGGAAATATCCAGAGGCCTCTCAGAGACCTTCCTCAGATGTGAGCCTCTTTCAGCCTCAATCAGGATTTAATATGGCCATCTGCATGGAGCAGCGTGGGCCTGTGAATTATGGATCACGGCTCAGCAGCCGCCCTACAGGACGAGCCTCTCTCCTGTGCTAGCTCTTCGAGGGGGAGGGTCATGCATTTTTTAACTCTACAGGTGCACTTTACTGTTCCCTGCGTCTGCTGGCATTACTGTCTTCAGACCTCTGCCTTAGAGTCCCAGCCCGACAGGCTCTGAATGCATAAGAGATGGGCACGCTGCACACTGGTGGTAGGGACACAAAAATCCACACAAGGAGCCTTTTAGGCGTCGCGCCTCCAAGAGCTCAAACTGTGCGGTGTTGAACTGCCCACAATCTAATGGATTCGGGTTCCATTTCCTACTGGGTGGAAAACAAAAGCAGGCCATTTCCTCTGGCTGGCGGAGACCACATCATCCTCTAACTAATGACCCTGCACCCTCCCCAGTCCAGGAGGACAATGAGCACAGCCCTCCCGGCCAGACGGAGATGAGGCCACCCACGAGGCCGGGGGCCACCCATTCCCCCACAGCCAGTCCTCACAGGCCTTCTGGGTGCCCACACCACTCACCCATGCTGGGCACCCACTATCTTCCAGCAACTCAAATGGTGGCCCATTGGTCCTGGCTCACGCCTGTGAAATAGGGCTGAGAGTGGCCCTTGAGAAGGTGGCGTTGTAGGGACTTAGGTCACCAGCTGTCTTATCAAGCTAGCAGGAGGGGGCTATTCTACTGGGGATGGGTCCTCAGCCAGCTAGTCCACTGACAACTGCAGGCCTGCCATCAACTCATCCCAAACCACACTTTCGCCGTGGAACTCAGCAGTGGGCATCGGAGCCGAGCTCCCTCTTAGTAACCATGAGGGTTTCCACGTCACGCGTGCTCTCTCCACTTCCTTCCTCCGCCCCTTCCTTGTTTCTCTCCAAGTACTCTTGAAAGAAGAACTTCTCTCCTCAATTCTTTGCCCCCCAAGGTTAAGCTTTCTGTGCTTAGACCAGGCACACATAATCAGCAAAAAGCCCAGAAACTTCCTCCTAGGAAGGTTTCCTATCTCATCCACACCAGAAGGAATCATTTCCCCACTTAAAAAAAAAAATTAAACTATATATATCCCATAGCTGATAGTCTGCATTTTCTGCGGTTAAAAACTTACTTAACCAAAAGAAAAAGGAGTAATCTCTTTCTTTTTTCCTTTCCTTTCTTTATCTGAAGAAAACAAGGCACTTACTAAAATATTTGAGAATTCCTTAAAACATCTGCTTGGCTTGTGCACGTGTAGTTAACCTTTTCAATCTCCGAACATCCTTGTTTGGATGACATCACACCCAGAAACACACACAAACACAGATCGCCAACAAATGTCGGGTACGTGTACAAATGAGAAACTCACACTTTAGTCCTGTACACACTTTCACGCCCTCTCCTAAAACATTACACATCATTCTCACGGACATATAGCCACCAAGATAAATTCGAGAATTCCCGTCTCTGTTTTTCTTGGAGAGAATTGAATTCTTGAAATATATCAGTAAAAATTGTAAAGAAAACACACTTAATCCTTCTCCACCTCCTCTTGATAAGTGATCTTTCATTTCCAGGTTTGGGGCCTTTTCATTTCTTAAATGCACCCAGCCTCCCACAGCACTAGCTGGACCTTTACCTGAAGAGCTCGGCTGTCCTTGGCTCTGGGGCCTTCGCTGTGCTCCAGAATGAGCGGCACGAATGCCCCGTCTGCCCCTGAGGGGTGCGACCGCAGAAGAGGCTGAAGGCGAGGGCAAAGCCCTCCAGGCCAGCCCCAGGCACAGAGGGGAAGCCGACCCCACTGAGGTCAGAGCTGCTGGGCCTGTTTGGTGAGTTGACAAGGGACTTCTTTCTCCCACCATTTCGTGACTACCCTTCACCTGGGGCAAACATTTTCCGAGAGAAGTGGGCGGACCCGGGCCTGGACTGCGAATCGCATCGCAGTTTTCTCCTATGTCTGGGAGGGAAGCCTCAGGGAGGGGTCAGGTCAGGCCAGATCAGGACCTCAGAGGCCCAGGGGTGAAAGGATTGAAGTGACACCTCCGGGCGTAGCTTGAAATAAAAGGAACACTAAGTTCTAAAGTCACAAAGGTCTGACTTTCCCCCATAATGATGACTTAGATGTTTTTGTTTGCCATATGTAATGTCAGATTATTTCTGATATTTATATCTTTCCCCCTCTCTTTTTGTTTCTTCCCTCAGGTGCCTCGCTTTGCTGGTGGCCCAAGCACCGTCAGATGCTGCCTACGGCTAGCCTGGCCCTGGTTCAGGGCAGGGATGGCGTCCCCGTCCACTCCTAGTTCTGAGGCACACTGCCAGCTCCAGAAGGAACTCGCCTTCCTACAGCACCCGACTGAAGACAGATCGCCGGTTGAGCTGAACTGAAGGAGAAAGTCCTTGGCAAGAACAGGGGGATTGGGACTGGCTGGCCGTGGGACTGGAGTCAGGTTGTTGTCAAAGGCGGGTCTGGGTCAATGGGGACCAGGTTACTAGGAGGGGGGGCTGATGTTGGCAAGAAGGGGATGCGGCCTCCAGATTCTTGACTGCGAGACCTTCCTGGGTCTCCGCTTCCAGAGCTGTAATTCAATGAGGGGTTGAATTAAGGGAGTGGTTTTCAAACTCTTCTTAGAAGTCTTTGTTTTTTCCTTGAACAAAATTCTACCCAGAACTCCAGCGGGCAGAGCAGACAGAAGTGGGGCTCTTCCGGGGTGTGGGGAGGTAGGGCGGCCAGAAGCAGGGTAGAGTCATCGGGCCTCGTCCCTCCCATCATCCCTGAGGGGCCTTCTTTGTAAGAACATCCGGCTGGGAACCCACTGAGCTCCATCTCAGTTCCCTGGTTAGTTTACAACACCTTGGAAAGAGAAGGAGCCTTAGAACACGCCTATTTCTCATATGGACCTCAGGGCACCTGGCAGAGAAAGGCAGTCAGCCTCATTTCCCCTGGAAATGAACCACATTATTTACTTTATAATTTATCCTTTATCCACAGCATACTCTCGCCATGTTCCTATTTCCATGGCATTGTTTTCATTTCACCATTAGCAAGGCAAAGAAGCAGCTTTTTCTCTGACTTAAGAAGAGAGAAGGTTGTCACTTTGCCACTTCACCAGGAAGAAGCCCTGTATTCGAGTACAGTCTCACCACTGGCAAGCTGTGTGACCTTGGGTAAGTCAGTCAACAACTCTGAGCCTTTGTTTTCTCATCTATAAAATGAAGGGAGTGATTCTAAAGGTCAGTTCCAGTTCTAAAATGCAAAGCCTGTATAGTGAGGTGGGAAAAGATCCTACAACCCATAGATTGAACGAAAAATTTAAAAGATTTTCCATCTTCTAGACAACAAGACATTTATTCAAGGTGTTCCATCTGCTTGGTAAGCCTGGAACAAAACTCCAGTATTCTTCAGATGGCTGTATCTGTCTTGCATTATGGAGAGTTCAAATGTCTCTTTTAATCACATTAGCTCTCCTGATGTGAGTTTCTTTTCTTAACTGAGCCTGCGGCTGCATATTTATAAATATTATGGATACACAGTTCTGTGTGTGAGCATGTCAACAACGGCAATGCATGAAAAGAAAAACCAAAAAGACTGTCATCAAATCCCTCACTCAAATCATCTAAGTCCTCTGCTCAGGGTTTGAACCCAGTTTTGCTCACTAACCCTGGATAAGCTGCCTTTTAAGAGTTATTTCTGTGAGCTGAGGCTGGATTTTGTTTTATTCAAAGCGACTTCAGCCTGTCACAAGACCGTCTCATAAAAACTGTATCTTGGCTTCAGTTGGGAAGAAATGAGCCAATCCATCAGCCCAGGAATGTGGCTGTGTGACCACTTCCTAAGGCAACTGGGAAGGGATGCAATCTATGCAATTTATGGGGCCGGGCGGCAGTGAGAGACGCACTCCTGAAGGCATGGCAGATGGAAATCCCGTGAATGTTTGCAGTGATAAAGTTCAAAATCTGAATCAAAGAACCCCGGGGAGGGCAGGAAAGGGGGGGATCAGAGAGCCAGCGTATGAGCGTGGAAAGGAGGAAGGAACGAGGCAGGCTCCCCCTCCAGTGAATTCAGCAAGGAGAGAGCTGGAAATGGGTCTGGAAATGGGGCCTTTGGAAAGTCTCTGCCCCGCGATCTGGACTCTAAAAAGGACCCTTCGTGGAACGGTTAAAACGTAAGTTTGATGCGATTACCTTCCTGACCTCGAGTCATGCCACCTGTGGTAACCTCGTTATTTGTCATCTTATATCATAAACAAATGCAGTTCCAATAGGGCAGCCAATATAATATCATTAGTTTATATTTATGTCCGCTCTTTTCCAGCCCTCTTTGCAAATGCAATTTTGATGCCATTGATGCGAGATCTGGGATTACAATTCCTGACCATTTCAACAGACATTTGGGGAAGGAAATAGAAGAAGGGTAATTTTGAGGTCTCTCCAAAAACAAAAGGAGAAAAAAAGGTAATATAATTTTTTTTTCATTTATTTTGATTAACCGAAGGCTTCTGTTGAAACATCAATGGCTCCCCGTTGGTTAGTAACTGAATCCAAACCCCTGGGCCTAGCAATTTGGGCCTTGCATTTAGCCCAAGCTATTATTTCCAACCTTATTTGCAATTTCCGCCACCCCCCCACCCCCAAACTGCAGCTTCTGAGTGTTCCGCAAACAAGCCCAGCATCCATTTCTCTGCTCTCATCTTTCTCTTCCCTGGTATGCTGTTCCCAGCTCTGAGTCCCATCTCTCCTCTCAGTCCAGGCTCCGATGCCACCTTTGCCCTCCCTGACCTCCGTCATCTCTCCCAGACTCTGAGGTGGAAGCTCTTCAGCATCTTCCAAGGTTGTGAGAGCTAGGGACAGCCCGGCCCGCTCTGCTGGACCACCACTTGATGGCATGACTCTACTCGGATTCAGCTTTGGCAAACCTTAAAGGACCAACCCAGAGCCTTTCCCACAAGTCAGACTCAATCAGGTTTGATGAATTAACAATTGGCTAAAGTAACACCAAGAGTATCACTAGATAGCCCAAATTCTAAGAAAGCCTTATCACAAATTGTTCTGCTTCTCCAGCTGTCACCCGTCCTTCCCAACCCACGTCCTTCCCAACCCACAACCTTCCCAACCCACAACCGCCACAACCAGGATTGAATGCTAATGTTCTTTAGTGGAGGACGGAGAGTTTGAATAACTTGTCTGCGATAATAATACCCAGGCATAGGTCAAGGTAGAGCTCGTGCCAACTAGGTCTCGGAGGACACTCTAACCTCAGGTAATGATGACGTTCAAAGGAGACTTACATTTTAATTCTAATAATGGTAAAACTAATTTATTTGAGGGTTTTCTTGCCCCCTCACTCCACTCCCCCACCCTCCCAACGGCAAGTTCTAGATACTTGTCAGTAGCACCAGGAAGACGCAGACTTACTTCATCACTAAACTGTTGACTGGTTCAGCTCACTTCTCTCCACCCATCCCTCCCCACCTCCCCCCCCATATGCCCTTGGGGCACATCTGTTTTATTTTTCCCCTTTATCAAAACAATTGTTATTACCGCTCAGTCCAGTAATTTGCAATTCCCTCTATCTTCTTCGCTGAAAAGACTGGCCAGCAGCCGATCCCTGGTTATCACGGGACCTCTGGAGGCCGTGAGCAGGTACCACTGGGCGTGCGCATGAAGCTAGCCGGCAGCCCTGTCCACTGCCCGCTCCCGGGGAGACCTTGCCTTTTGCTATGCCCGGCCCTTCCCGTTTTTCTGGATTAGATCATGACTCTTTCATGAAGACCCAGAGGGAAATGGCATTATTAAGAGTCTTGCCGGGTAAAAGCTGTTTTGTCTTTATGACGACTTTTTTGAGTTCAGCTGCTGAGGGGCCTTCCTGCGGGGGGTAGAAGTTATCACACATTTGGGGGAGCTCCTTCAACACGGTGCTCCCTGCTGAGCACACTTCAGTGATGGAGGATGGAAGAGGAGAGGAAAGGAGAGGAGAGAGAGGGAAAAAATCAGTAGAGGCGAGAACACTGAAAGCAGAGGAACGAGGTGAGAAAAAACGCAGACATAAATCTAAGATGCACACCCAGCAGAGGATGCCTGCCTCTGAAGAGCAGTGTGCCACCAGAGACTCTGACGCTCAGGAAACACAGACCTTCGTCTGAGCTGAGGACGAATAATTACTTACTTACTAAAAAAACTCATAAAAATAACATAAACTTACCACAACGGTTACAGTGTGCTATGATCACAAGATACAGTTACTCACTGAAGCTGTTTTAAAGATTGAATGACGTTGGAACAAGCTTACTAAGTACTGAACAGTATTCTGTGTGATCTGACCTAGCACAGCAACCCTAGGAAGTGGCTATTATTATCAAACACACTCTATAGGTAGGGAAACTGAGGCACAAAGGGATTCAGTCCTCTGGGTCACAGAGCTGGCACATGGCTGAGCCGAATTTTAAACCCTGGCTCAATGCTTCCGAAGCTGGAAGTTCCACTGAAGGTCGTCCCCAAACTTTCCAGTGACAAACTCACTTAGTGGCATCCAGGGAAAGACAAATGTTTTGCTTGTTTGAAAACTCCTTTTTCCCTGCCTGTGCCAGCAATCTGTCTGTGTGAACAATGAGAGATGTGTTCAAGGCTGGGGTGTGAGTGGGCTGGAAGCACTTAACACCTTCTCCACTCCCTGAGCGCACAGGCGCCTGGCTCCTAGTCACCCTGGCCCTCTGTCTGTGTACTGGAAACCACGGTGTGTGTTGAGGGGGAGAGCGTGTGGGTAGGATGCTCAGGTCTGAAACCACGGGTTATGGGTTTTTTGTTGACAACTCCCACTTCTTTCCTTTCCTCTCAGCCCCACTCTTCGCTGTCCTAAATGCCACGTTGTTATTGTTCTGCTGGAGAGGAGCAGCATTTTCAGAAATGGGGGAATTTATTTTTATAGCACAGCTGGTCTGCCAAAGGTCACATAATTTGGCAACGTTCCCAGTGGTTAAAAATTAATTTCTCCTTATTAATACAACCAAGGTCCCATAGGATCAGAGCTCAGGCTTATCTAAACTTGACAGCTTCCTAAACCTTTAGAAGATGCTTTCTCCTGGAGGGCCAGCCAGACCACAAGGCCACTGTGTCCTGGAATCCCAGTCCACTGAGTCCTGCTAGGTAATGGAACTATTAAGGCCCTCGGCCTTTGCTCGGGAAGGCAGAGAAAGCTTTGAAAGATGCTGTGGGCTCTCCAGGAGAAACTTCTGCAGTATCTTCCAGGAATGGGTTAATTAAAAAGAAAAAGTGAATTCCTTGCCAGGAAGGAACAGTACAAAGACTAACTTCGGGGGATCAAAACATGTCTTGTCTATGCCTCAAAGATTATCCAGCGGCAAGTGATGGTCAGATGATAAAATACCTCAACTATGTTAATGATGCTACAAACTACTGCCCAGATGTCACTTTTCAAGTTCTATCTCGTCAGTGCAAGAAATTAAAAAGGTATTATGCTTCTGCTCCACTGTTTAAAGAAGGAAAGTCTGATCTCTATTTCCTAAAGTCTTTCCGAACTGGACTTTTGGGGGATAGGTACTGAAAATCCTTTACCAGTGAACCTGGCTCTGAATTCTGTCAACTCAGAGTGGTCCCACACTTGGTCGCCCAGAGTCCGCTCCTGCTCTTGAGTGCTGTAATGAGCAGAGGAGCGAAAGGAAAGACACCAGCAAGGGCCTCAGAAACATCTAATTCCTGGTGTCTCTCCCCACTGACCCCCTCCCCCCCCACCCCTCGCCCACCCCACTGTTATCTGCATCCATGCCTCATTGCATCTGACCTGTTATCTGGACGCCTAGCTCATTCTACACCAGGAGGATAGGAACTGGGAACATGGACCTTACATTCAACAGCAGGGGGACCAGGCCATTGGGTAGACCTGGAGTTCCACCTGGATAGCCCAGGTTCCAGTCACTGCAGCCTTCCACCTTCCATTTTGCCAGTTGGATGCTCTGTGGCCTAAAATCTGGGGGCCGTACAGAATGACATAAAGTGCAAACCTGGCATCCCCGATTCCACCAGGCCCATCTTGGGCAAGAAGGGGCTTGCCCTGGAGCCCCCGTGGGAGCCCTCCTCTTTTCACGGGTTTGCACAGTGTGCTCAGTGGGCAACTGACGACAGCTTCACTCCCTCCAGTGGCTGCTTATAGGGTAGAGTTTGCTGGGCGTCCAGTGAAGGCGGGCACAAGCCCGGTCCCCAGAGCCTCGAGCAGGCTGTCTGTGTAGAATCTAGGAGTTTATAGTTTTGCTTTCAAATTATTATGCCTGTCCACAGCCACCCTGCATTTTGGGGAGACAGGCTAATAAAGAAACCCTGTTCAAAGCCTTCCCGGCGCCTAGACGTCACCGCTGCTCTCTCAGGATTTGTTCGAACCCAGACCTGTCTCCCACAGCCAATTTACACCTCTTATCTGATCAGCCAGTCCAGACGGAAGGTTGAATTGACCGCGTCTGCCCGTGTCCATGACAATGGTGTTAAAACCCCAGCACAGATCAAAGCTCTCCAGGCCCAGGGGGGTGGGGTTGCTTATAGGGTCCGGGCTCTTTTGGCCCCAAGCGATATGTCCCGGAGGTGGAGACATTAGGGCTGAGAGGGGCCACCATCTGAAGAAACCCATTGTCAGGGCCTGAATGATTTCCTGAGCAAAACCTAGTCCCCCGCGGACCACGATTAACTCCAGCAAAGGGGAGCTTCGCGGCGGGCGCTGACGGGGAACGGCCAGCGCCAGGGGGCTCTCCACTCTGTCTGAAACCGAAAGGAAGGGAGGCGGAGGGAGGCAGGCGAGCGGGGAGCACACGCCGATAAACCAGAGCGCCCAGCCCTTCCCCTTGCAGAGAAATTCAACCCGAGCCGCAGACGCGGCCGCATGGATGCGCCGGATCCCCTAACCTAGACCTGAAGAGCTCATTTCCACCCCCATCATTCCCAGAGGGGCGACCAGCTCATCACCCCCCGCCCCCAGCCCCTGGACGTGGCCCTGCGGGTGCCCCCACCCAGCCGCAGGGCGCCGAGGACCTGGTGGGCAACTCCCCCGGGCGGTGGGCTCGGGCGAAGGGTGGGGGCAGCCATTCAAGCCCGGTTCGCCTCGCCTCCTTTAACTTGTGTTGATATTAAAGAGAAATCAATCAGGGAAAATGAAGCATTGGCCGGGAATAATTTTTTTTCTCACGGGGAAAAGCAAAGAGCCAGGCGGCGGGGGAGGGGGCTCGCCGGCCACCGCAGAGGCTTCGCGCGAGCAGAGAGCGCAGCCGCGACGGAACTTTCTGGCAATGGGCAGCGTCGAGGAAATGCTGCAAGCTTCTCCCTGGGGGTGTCCCTAGTCAGGAGGAGGCGGGGACAAGGCTGGAGCAGTGGAGGCGGCCAACTTTGCCCAGGCTTGAACCTCGTTTTGCTTTCGCTGGGAAAATTTTGGCCTAATAGAATGTTTATGGATCGCTCGGCCCAGTATCTGCCGCGTAGCCCAAACAAATCGATGCGGCATTAGGGCCGGCGGTGGGGTGGCTGGGGGGCCCGCGTCCCCACCACGTGGGGGCCCGCGCGCCGCGTGCTCTTCACCTGTCCGGGCGCACGGGCGGGCGCCCGGCGCGCAGCGCGACTACAGGCGGGGCAAGTTGCGCGCGCTCCCGCGACTCGAGGGGCTCCTTTCCGCCTCTCTCCGCCCGCCGCGCTGAAATCCCACCCCGGCTTCCCGCGGCCCAACTCGGCCAGCTCCCGGGACCCGGGACCCGGCCCCTCCAAGCCGGCGCCCCAGGGGCGGGGGGTGGGGGGAATGCGGCGCAGAGTGGCGCGCGGGAAGCAAGAGGGGGCGCTCCGGGCAGGGCCTGCCCAGCGGCCCCGAGCCCGGGCGGGAGGGAGGCAGGCGGCGGCGCTGCGATCCGGTGAGGCGGCGTGGCAAGGAGAGGGGGAGCCTGGTGCGCGACGCCCACGCGGCCTCTCCGCCGCCCTCCAGTCTGAGGGGCCGCGTGGCGCGGCCGCGGGGTTATTTGCTCCATTGCCCCCCTGCATGCACCTTCCGTCCTCCCTTTCCCTGACTTCTTCTCGGAATGGGTTCCCGCCTCTGGGCCCGGGCCCTCGGGCCGGCGCGCAGAGGTTGAGTCAGAGGTCTAGCTGGGCCTCGCCCTTCGCCAGCCGCAGCCAGCTCTCCGGGTGCCAGTCGGCTGCTCCGACGGAAACCCGAGCGGCCCGCGGCTTGCGATCGCCTGTTCGGGCGGCTGGAGAATATCCACCCTGGGCAGGTCCCGCCCTGGGTCCGAGGCTGCCTGCGGCCGCATCCTAACTGACTGCCCCGCGATCCGCGCCCCTGGGCTTCTCTAGAAGTGACGCAGCGCGGCCTGGGGCTAGGGTGGGAGGGGGATCTGCAGAGAGCGCGGGAGGCAGGTGGCAGAGCGGGAGTGGGTCCGAGGGGGTGTCGCACACACACGTACACACTCCACGCAGCGCTCGGAGACAGCTGTGCGAACATCTGGGGTAGGCGATGGCACACGAGTCTTCACCACCTCTCCCGCTCCGCAGAGCACACAGAACCTGAAGTTGTATGTGCATGTGTGTGTGCCGGTGTGTGCGCCAGTGTGCGCGCGCTCGCGCGCCGGGCCTACCAGAGTCCGTGCCTGAATACATAATATACCGTGGGCATTCTCACCGCGCGGTCGCGCGCGCACACACAGCGAATCACACAAACATACATAATTTATGCAGCATCCAGGTCTGTGGGAGGTAATTTAATTTCGCTACAAGATGAGAATTTAGAATTAAGGCAAGAGGGGATGCGGAAGCACAGGAAACCTCCACGGTGGGACCTGCACCCATCTCTGATCGGATTTATAGCTGCCCGGAAGACCAGTTATGGCAGAGGAGGAACCGCAAAGGTGCGGATTTGCAGAGCGAGGGCATTCCCGAATCTTCCTCCGCGGCAAATAAACACCCGAGCTTAAAGTGGGGTGTGTGCGTGTGTTGTGGGGTAAGAGCCAGAGTACCAGGCGCAACGCTTCCCTTTTAGTTAAATCCAGGCTCCCAGGACCCACCAGCCGTGGTGATGGGGGAGGTGCCCAGGAGGCTGCACCGGCCTTGGTGAGGGCACACAGGGAAGCTTTTTCTCTCCCTAGACGGCTTCCCCCTCTTAATCACCTGTAGCAGCTTAAGAGTTTGGTGAGATTCCAGACACTGTTCTCAGAGGGGAGAGGGGCTCACTCTGGAGACTGACGTGGGGAAGGAAGGACAAGCCCCACTGGGTTCCCCGAAACCAGAGACTCCCCTCTCAGGAAGTGTACCCCTCTTGCCAGCCCTCCCCGCACACATACCGGCCCCAGGCTGTTCTGGGCCTTCCCTGCTTATCTCTGCAGTCTGTCCACACACCCTTTTTGACAGTGGTTGAGAACAAATTCCACTCAAAAGTTTCTAACCACTTCACAAGAGCGAGAGCCCTTCCAGGGCCACGCAGTTTGTTTTATCTAATAATGATTTTTAAAAGAACATATGATTTACTTTCCCAGACAAATGCATGAATTCGGCAAAGAGCAGGGATGACCAACAGCCCGAGCCCCTAGCTCAGCCGCAAGCCACCTCACTCCACCAGCCTCAGCCCTGTGATTCTGAGGCGTCTCCACACATCCTGCAAAGAACCCACAGCCCTGGAAAAGCAAAACTAGAGTCTTGTCTTTCCCAAGCCCTCCAGTTAACATTGCTCAATGTAGCTAAGTGGAGGGAATGCAGATGATTTATATTTCGCTGGCTAGGTTGAAGAAACTCAAGAGAGATGTTTTCTGCTTCAAGACAGAGGGGAAAAAATCCCAAAAACTGTAATGCAAAGGCTTTGTAGTATTTTTAAACCTTTGATTCAGTCCATATGTGACATGCGAACACCGCCAGATTCTGTCTACGTTTCAAAACACACATACACACACGCGCACACACACTCCTCGCAGGAGAGAAAAGTTGGGTTTCAGCAGCGGTGGTGGTGTCAGCAGGGCCGCCTGGGCTGGGCTCCCTCTTTAGATTGCTAGGATGCAGGGCACCTCCTTCTATGCCACTCCGTGTGGTCCCCCGCATTGGCATGGCTTTTAAAGGAAAAAGCATGTCGAAATGAAGAGAAAAAACTTCAGGGCTTACCTGGTTGGCCTCTCACTTCGTGTCCCGAGAAGCAGAGAGCTAAGAAAACCCAGGAGAGAGGAAACATATCCATTTTGGAGAAGGCGACTCTCTCCAGAGCGGGATTTGTAGATTTCTTGTACAATTATAAGTCTTTGTGTTCTTCCCTCTCTTACGTTCCTGCTTACAGTGTCTTCTGCAAAGGTTTCTAATGGTCAGGGTTTCCCTCTTGGGTCCTGGCGGCTCGTCTTCAGCTTTATTCTTGCTGGATCCCCACCTCGCCAGGAGGAGGGTAGCTCTTGAAATCAGCAAAGACGGAGCAAGCCGGGAAGAGGGGACCGGTTTCCTCTCTCAAAAACAAAACGCATCTATGTCCTCTCCAGTTCCTCAAAGTGTCATTTCCTTTATCCTACAACATCGCGAATATTTCCCGAAAGCCAAGCGTAAAAAAAATAATAATAAAAATAAAAGCCAAGACTTGCTTTGGGCATCCGCCGGCCCCCAGGCAGCTGTGTGATCTCAGAGGCATAAACTGACACACGTCCCCGGCACCCGGGACCCGCACGCGGGCGGAGGACCGACCGCCGGGACGGCCCGAGTGGCAGGCGGCCGCCCTGCTCGCGCCCTCGCCGGGTTCCTCAAGCGGGAGCCTTCCCCAACGGCTACACCCGCTCGGCCAGCCTCTCGAGGGGAGTCTGAGGAAGGAAGCCGCTGCCGCTGCCGCTGCTGCTGCTGCTGCCGGTGCGGCGGCGGCCGGGATCGCGGGGAGTGAGCGCGCCCCTCTCCGAGTCGGCTCGCGCCCGCCCTCACCTCCACCTCGCCCAGCGCCTCGCCGAGTGTCTGCTCGTCTGAGGATGTGCCGGGCCGGGCTGCGGGTCGGTGCCGCGCTCGCGTTCTCTGCTTCCCCTCCGGCTCCCCCCTGCCTTTTCAGGCCGAGCAGCATGTGGATGTCAGAGCGGCGGCAGAGCTATCCGATTACGCGCCGGCTCAGGGCCCGCCCCTTCTGTGTTCCTGATTAAAGAGGCAGCCGCGGAGGCGCGCGGCGCACAGTCCAGCGCCGCGGCATCCAGCTCGGGCGGGGCGGCGGCGGCTCCCCCCGGGCCGCGGCCCGATCAAAGTTCAGGCAGTTCCCGCCCAGCCGCCCCTCTCCCGCCCCGCACCTCCCGTCCCCCCTGGGCACCTCCGCGCCTGGCTGTGCCGGGCTGCCCGTGCGCCATGCCCCGGAGAGGGAGAGCCCCCGGGCACCTCCAGGGCGCGCTGCCCTTGGCCGCGTCTCCCCAGCCAGAGGGAGACTCTACGGGAAACGGGGGAACTCCTTGTTCCCCCAAATTCCCTGACTCCGATGCCACACACGTAGAGCCCAACACAATGCCATGCGCAATGGCGTTACCAGAGGAGCTGGGCGGCGTACGGTGTTTGGAGCAGGGAGCCAGGCGGCAGCTCAGCCATGCGTTCGCACAGGCAGCAGTGCGTGGCGGCGACACACACGGCCAGTCCCCGCTGAATAAAACCCCAAACACTCCCTGCGTTTACTACTCAGATCCTTTGTTACGTCCCAAACATACTCCTCTGCTCTCTGGGCGAGGATTTACTTCTCCCTGCGCCCCTAACTTGTAACCATCAGTAGAAGAGGAAAGACTTTCTTCAAAGAATTCCCAGGTGGTTTTATTGGATTCCGCTAACCCTCTAAAAAAGTACCGGTACACGAAGGCTTCCCCTGAAATGCTACTGTAACTACCTCTCTTCACGTTTTCCACATGGAAACTTGGTCACAACGCGGAGGGAAAGAAAACAGCGTCGTGCCAAACATTTTTAAATGGAGGCGTGAAAACTGTTCGGAGGGGGCTTCAAGCTAACAGCGGGGAAACTCTTGTATCTTTGCTTCTGAGGATGGCTGCGTGGGTTCCAAACTGTCCGGCTTCACTGGGCAGCTATTCTGCATTATCATCAGGACTCCAACAGGAACAGTCTCAGTAACACTGTGTCCACCTTTTCTGCCACTCTGCGGATGAAGAAAAGTAAAGTTTCGGTGACAAGAAACACACACACATCTGACTATCCCATTTATTTCTTTGCTGGTACTTGTGGATTCTTCTGGGTGGTTTTGCTCCTTATCTGGACTTGCCATTAGCTTTGTTTACCACTTTTAGTGTTTGAAAAATCTGTAACTCCCACTTAACTGTTATTTACACTGAGATAACTAAAACAAAATTGAATCAGAAGTGATTTGCAAATAGTTGAGTCAAGCAGTGGCGGGGTTTTACAGTGATGTGTAAATCCACAGGCTGGTATCACACCGTTAATCTTGGACGCCTGCTCTGAAAGGGCATTTAATGAAGGAGGCCCAGCAAGTCCTTGCAGCCAGCACATCCCCTGACCGGCCTGAAGCTACCCTTCATTCTTTTCATTCTCTCTCCCTTCCTTCTTCCCCTCCTTCTTTCCTTGGCCTGAGAGCACATCCACATTATTAAAAACTTCAGATTTAGTTTTCTTCCTGTTTAAACGTCAACTGTCAAGGAAGACTGCCATTCCCAATATTCAGTGGAGTAAAGAGGCAGTCTGGATTTTGAACCTTAAGCAAGATTTCGGCTTCTATCATCACCAAGACACTGACCTGAGGACAAATAACGCTATCCACAGTGACAGAGCCTGAATGAAGAGTCATTTAGTATCACCTCCCCCCACCACTCCCCAGGCTTGCCAACCCAATCTAGCAAGGGCCCAGCATGGAAGAATCCTGTTTCTGAGAACATTATAGCCAGAGTTTAGGTGAAGGGCAGGAGAAGAGGAGAGAGAGAGAAAAAGTAAACTGAAGCCCATGGGAAACCCTTGGAATGACAACTCTGGACTTCTGCTCTTGGGGTCTCAGCGGTGACAGTCCCCATCAGGCTGCTTTGGGGGTCTTTGGTCTGGTAGGGAGAGCGGTCAGTTTGAGTGTTCTGTTCCTGGATCTGATTCCCAGCGTTACGGATTTTAATTTTTCAGAGGTGTCCTAAAGGGGGAGTTGATTTACTTCCTGGGAGCTCTCAGCACGACCCTTGCAAGACTGCTCCTCCGTCCACTTGGGCACAGTCCTGGTTCCCTGCTGTTGGGTGGAGGGTGGGACGTTGCTCCAGAGCCCTGGGGACTCCAAGCGGCCAGACCGTTGTTAATCCTCTAGGGGGCAGCACTCAATAAATAATGCTAACACTCCCTGCAGTTGCACGCCTGGTGGTGCTTTTACCTCCAGGAGCTCCCAGCCTTTTATCAGACCGGGAAGGATTCAGAGTGAGCCCAGATCTGCCTGAGCCCACTCTGAGCAAGAGCCCACCAGCCCAGCCGGGACTTAGAATTGCTTTAATCCAGGACTTCCAACCACTCTTGGGAACTAAACACAAATCCCACACGTGCCTGACGGAAAACGAATCCTTAGGGAAATTCTCCAGACTGGGACTGGCTCAGACCTGCCAGCCCCGGTTTTTGTCTAAACTGGAATCTCAGCAGTTTGGCTGCAGCTGGTTTGGTTTCAGCCAGAGGTGCAGGGCTGAGAGGCCAGGCGCTGTACTTCTCGTTATTTGGCAAGTCCACCTCCTTGACCCATGAGAAGACTGCCTTCTAAAAGGCTAGTAGCATCCACAGAAACAGTGGGCTTGTTAACAGAAGCAGAGAACTGACTAGACAACAGCTAACTAGTGGAGCTGACGTTCCCGTCAGCATCACTGACTCACCCAGGACGTTTGACATCATTATCCTTAATTGTGAAATAATCATAGGTAATCCCAGCCTACATTCCATTCCTTTGACAGGAAGGGATGTGGGGAGCATAAAACAGATTTGTAAAAGATGCTAAGAGAAAGCTGTAACCCAGCCACACCCAAGTGGAAAGATGGGCGTTCCCAGCTAGACAGTCCCAAACCTGAGGGGCCTCGGAATCACCTAGGGCAAGTGTTAAAAATTCAGATCCCTGGGCGCCAGCCTCCTGCAGATCACATCCCTTGGATCCAGAGCAGTGTCTGGGAATCTGTATTTTTAACACACATTTTAGGTGATTCTGATGCAAATGCTCAAGAAGACAGCAATTGGGAACCTCTGCTCTGAGATATTCTGTGTACACATGGCCTTCAGTATATGCACGTCCACTGAAGGACCCCTGCATAATGTTTCTTCTCACTTCGTCTCCAGGCACTTTTCAGACAGGGGGCAGGTGGTTCAGGTTTCTGGGAAAAGCCACCAAGAACATGTCCCTTAAAATGCCAGAGTGGTAGTATTCCAAGCTTTATCTGGTAACATTTATTTCACAGCAGCAGCAAAGGACCTTTTGAAAGTACCAAGAATCTCACCTCCCAGGGGAGGTCTGCAGGAACGTGTTCAAAGTGCCAGCTGATGGGGTTTATGGATCCAGCCCTTTCACCACCAACTGGCTCAGCCATTGGTTGTTACTAGAGGTTTGTTTCAGGTATGGTTTTCCATCTGTGTACATCACACTGTGCTTATTAAATGCTCATGGAAGCGTGACTACGTAGGAGGTGTGCAAGCAAGGAAGACATTTGGGTCTTGCCTCCTGGGAGCACAGAATCTAAAAGCTCCAGAAGTTTCGTGCTTCCACAATAGATGCCACTTGTCACATGGTGCTTCCCCTTCTCTGAGCCCTGACATCGATGAGCTCTCACCCTGGAAGGGGGAGATACGAGGCATAATTGTGTCTTAATCTGTAATTCACTGCACCGCCCTGGTTAATATGTAGCTGCATCTGTCTCAGAGGCAGAGCTTCAGTTAAAATGTAATAGGTCCTCATTTTTCATTCTCTCTTTTGTTTAAAGCTGAAGGCCAGGTTTCTGGTCAATAAGGTTTTTTCCCACTCTTTAAACCATCAAGATTTTTCTTTCATTCAGTCCATGTGAACCCTGCCTAGTAGTTTCTATCTAATATTACCTTTGTTGGTTTCCTGGAATCCTTACAGATTTCCAGAAAGTATCAAACTTTCCTTCACTCTAAACTGTGTGTGTCTCTCTTGTCTCTTTCTCAGATACAGACACAGACACTAGATCAGGAAGGAGGGAACCCCATGAATGAAAAAAAGGAAAAAATGATCAAAATGTGCAAAATCCATTCAAATATCCCCGGAATCCTTGGCCAGGGAAACTGAGGAAGTCATATTGCCCCCTCTCCTCTGCGTGGCTCGAGCGTGAGGTCTATCTCCTCTGCCACACTAATTTTTATGTGTTTGAGGCATCAGTGCTTCAAAATGGACCCCACCAACCCTTCTCTTTAGAGCCACGTTCTCCGGTGTGACATCCTGCAATGAAGGTGATATCTGTGCTTCGCACATGGCTGTTGGGCATCTGAAATGTGCCCAGTGTGACTGAGTAACTGAATTTTAAATTGCATTTAATTTCATTAAATACAATTTCCCAGCCCCTCAAAAAATACAGATTCCACGTGTGTTTAACGGCTGCCATATTGGACAGCTCAGCTTTAGATAATCAAAAGGCCAGAGCCGGAGATTCCCATAGATGCCCATAGAAATTCACACCCTTATCAGGATCTGAGTCCCCCTCACTTGTTCACCAAAAAGGGAACCCCAAGATGAGCAGAGGTGTCATGTGAAAACGTTGGGTCTCTGTTGGGCAAGGAAGAGAAGGGCTGACCCAGACCACTGTCTATCATCCTGTGCCCTCCTGTGCTCTCTTGGATGACTCTTCCAGAGCACCCACCAGGGTCAGAGACTTCACAGTGTCCCCCAGCCTCTGGGCCTCAGCTCAGTCCTCAGTGGAGAGAAGCAGGTTGTGGCAGCAGAAACCTAAGGTCAGGGCAGGTGGACCCTAGGTCTCCACTGCCCTTGGGTGTCTTTGAAAAGTCTGCTCACCAATTTGGGACCTATTTCCTTACCTGTAGAATGAAGGGGTTGGTTTGAATGACTTCTGCCTCTTTTCGGTTTTGAATTTTGGCTAAGGATCTTTCCTTAGCCAGTGCATGGGTGGGGCT